ACTCTTTCTAGTACCCCCAAATTGCCCCTTTAACTTTGTAAGCAGTCCCCCTTTTAACATAGGACAAGTGCCCCTTTTACTTTGAAACATGCCCCTATTAATTTGTTAAAGTGCCCCTTCCCCTTTTCACCTCTGATAAGTGCCCCTTTTATTTTGACACATACCCCTTTTATTTTGACAAGTTTCCATTTACGATTGCAATAAGTATCCATTTTCCATTCTCATAAGTGCCCTTTTTAATCTATAGTAAGTGCCCCTTTTCAGGTACGAGAAGTGCCCCTTTTCAGGTACGAGAAGTGCCCCTTTTCACCATTGATAAGTGCACCCTTCACGTCTGATAATTACCCTATTCAAATCTTAGAGGTGCCCCTTTCCTTTGTAAGAATTTCCCATGCCCTTTTTAATAATTAACCGTTTTTAAACTCGGATAAGCACACCTAATATTTTCTCATGTGCCCCCTTTCCTTTCTAATAAGTGCCCCTTTTCCTTTTGATGAGTGCCCTCATTTGAAAAAAGAGACCAGTTCCCCTTTTCACAAAATCCCCTTTTCACAAAATCCCCTTTTCACCTATTAAAAGTGTCTCTTTTCATTCTCATAAGAGCCCCTTTCCATTTCTGTTTCTGGTAAATGACCCTTTGCAGGTACGAGAAAATACCCCTTTTCACTTCAGATAAGTGCCCCCTTCACCTCCGATGATTGCCCCATTTCAAATGTGAGAGATACTCATTTAACTTTGAAAATTGCCCTACCCCTTAATAAGTGCTCTTTTCATCTCTAATGAGCGTCCCTTTTCATCTTAATCATTTCCCCCTTTTATATTGACACGTGTCCTTTCCCCTTATCCTAATTACCCCTTTTCATCTATGATAAGTGCCCCGTTTATTTTAACATGTGCCTCTTTTTCTTCTTATTAATAAGAGCCAATTCCCCCTTCACATAAAAGCACCCTTTCACCTCCGATAAATGCCCCTATTAAAATCTGATCGTTGCCTCTTTTCTTTCAACAAATGCACATTTTCCTTTATGATAAGTGCCCCTTTTTATTCTCATAAGTGCCCCTTTTCATATCTGGTAAGTGCCCCATTTCACCTCTGATAATGACCTTTTTAACAATGATACGTGCCCCTTTTCCATTCTAATAAGGGACCTATCCCCTTTTCGCCTCTTATAAATGTCCCTCTAAAAATCTGATGGTTGCCCCTCTTCCGTCGACAAACGCCTATTGCTCATTCTCATAAGTGCACTTTTTCATCCCTGGTGTTTGCCTCTTATTTGAGGTGTAAGAAGTGCCACATTTGCACCTCTGATAATAACCCTTTGTACTTTGTGACGTGCTTCTTTTCTTTTCTAATAAGTGTCTTATCCCCCTTTTTTCATCATTAAAAGTGCCCCTAATTTCAAGCGACTAGAAGCAATTTCCCCCAAAGCTCGTTCGCTACGCTCGCTAGCATTTATAGATGATATAATTATGTTACTTATCAAAGGTCTTTTCAGTCTTCCGTTATGAGAATGTGCTTATAACCCCATCAGAATTGGGTTTTTTTCCTCTTTAAAAGATTTAATTTTCGCCTGCGACCTCACAAATCTTCACATTTTTCAGACCATCACACCCAACTGCAAAGTATGATGGTTAAGCAATATCTTATATCACGTATAAATAGAAAGAAATATTGAAATCATCCCTGATAATATTACCACAATGTAAGGGTATATACCAATGTCTAAAAAAAATTATATTTTCGCTTCGAGATTTCCCTTTGAGTTCGCAAATCAATTTATAAAAATACTGTCTAAGATTTCCAGGAAAACTTATCAAACTTTTACCAACTAACTTTCTTGTTCAATTCTTAACAATGGCATCAACCTGTAGTTGAAAAATATTACAATAACAATTCATTTTATAAGACGGGGCCCAGTTCTGTTTAAAATAAACTTTTATTTCTTTATGAAAATTATCTTTCAATGCCTTAAAAATGTTATTATGTATTCTGAACTGAATAAATATATAAAAGAAATGAAATGAAATATTAAAAAACCAAAATACATTCCTTGACCGACAAATTAAAGTTGTCTTTTCCTTATGAAGCTTAATATATATATATGATTTATTGAAATCAAAACACATCAAAAACCAAGAGCAAACAGTCCGAAGACTGACACCTGTCTTGGCTACAAAATAAATTTTAAATCAAATGTTCATAATAAAATATCATTAGCGAATACATAAGTTAAAATATCCAATAACTAAACTATCATCACTAAATATTGCAATAACATATAAACAATAACAACAAAAGTATACATCATTACAATTACATCAATAGAGGACTCTCGAGCTGTGTAATAACTAAATCCCCCGTGGCGCATTCTTTGAGCAAGAGATGGCAACGCATATTCAGAAACTGTTATAAATCTACATACAAATTTCAAAGTTCGAACAAGGATTTAAAAAAATCCAATGTATATTCTAAAAACATACGATTTGATGTATGTACGTTACATTCTACATAAGAGAAATGTTGAACATCGAATTTCTATTTTGTTTTAATGGATGGAAAGTTTGTATTCTCTTTTTTTTTGCAAGGAAATACTCGGTTTCTTTTTGCGTCTGGACAAATGATTTAAATGCAATCTTAGTTGGTAAACTTCTCTTGAAATTACAGGTGTACAAGATATTTTAAGAGCAGGATTGAATATGACAAGAATTTTGTCAGAAGGGGTACCAAAGAGCTTTTCAAAATTGGTTAAATTAAGATTTGAATCAACTTTGAGATGAATTAAGGTTAACACTTCATTTCAAAGTGGTGTTACCTTCTCACATTCACAAAATTGATTTTATACAAAAATGCATTCAAAGCAATAGCTTTATGAAAAACTTGTAAAATAAAAAGAACGTAGACGAGTATCTATGGTGCAACAAAAATGATTAACATGAATCTTATCCCCCTTTGTATCTTGTGTTCCTGTGAGTTTGTCATGCCAATAATCATATCGATTTTGAGGAGAAGACTGATTACGAAGTACTTTATATGCATATAGGAGGCCTCTGTTACATTTGCCCCGTCTATTATTGTCCCCGGTCTCCCCTACATAGTTTATGGGGAAAATGTTCATTTTGGTCGCGTGCCCCCAAAAAAGGTGCAGTACCCATGGTATCCTTTGTTCGAAATGATATAAACTTGGTACAAAAAAGAAGGAGGGGGGTTTGGATTCTGCCCCACCCTTATATGGTTATTATGGGGCGAAGGGGGAGGAGAGTCGCGGAGGGGGAGCGATGGTAGTGAGGTTTTTTTTTGGGGGGACTCGGGCCCGGGGGGGGGGGGGGTACCTAGATTTAGTTCGGCCGAGGGTGTGCCGCTCAAGCCTCGAAACCCCTTCACATTATTAGGGGTCTTTTTTTCTTGAAAAGTTGTTCACAATTTTCGGGTGTTTTTCGGGTGTTTACCAGAAAATTGTGCATATTTTTGAAATTTTGAAAACACGGACCCATTTTCGTTAAAAGGGATTTTCGGTAAAAAAAAGTGACCCATTAGAGCGGCACACCCCCGTATGTTCTTATATGTAGTCCCCCCCCCCCCCCCCCGGACTCAGAAGGGAGGTGGGGCGTGGATAACTATAATCTTTGGACAATTAAGACACAGGTCAATATAATAATGTAGCTACAAAATATAAAGCTGGAGTTTCACAACAATCAAGAAGTAATAAGGCATCTACTTTCACTCCACACCCCCTCCTCTCTCTCTCTCCCCCTCTCTTTCTTTCCTCCCCTCTCCCTCTACCCCTTCTCTCTCTCTCTCTCTCTCTGTCATAATTATTTATACCATGGAAACCTATTTAGATCTCTATGATGTATACACACACCGACACACGCATATATATACACACACACGCACACACACCCACACACATACACACATACCCACGCACACACTCAATCACTCTTCAATCTCTACCTATCATATTTCTCTTCTTGCTTTACTTTTGCCATGAACCCCCTATATTATATATTTTGTTTGCTTGTATCTAAATTAAGGGGATAACCTAGATAGGTATTTCTACTTTTGTTATTCCTCCACTTAATTGATTGGACATGTATCGTTTTGTACACTTTTATTTTATGTTGGGTGGAAATAAATTCAATTCAAAATTCAATTCAGTTCAATATTATTTGTCAGGGGTCACACTTAATTAAGGCATCAAGCTTCGCTTATCTTGGAGCCTTGGCAATTTCTGTATGAACAAGTTTATTTCTCTTTATATATCTTTCAATTATATTGAGTTTATATCATGTATTCAGAACTGAATAAATAAATGAAATTAAGTATTAAAATTCAAATAATTTCCATGACTTACAAATTAAAGTTGTCGTATTGTAATGAAGCTTATCATGATCAATATAAAGCTAGGCTATGACCAACATAGATTATTTTATTAAGAACAAATCAATAGACTAAAGAAAAATTATAGAATTGTAATAGTGGATTGCTTTTAAGAAATCCAAGCGCAGAAAAGTTTGAAACCCCACCCGGGTCTACCCGTATGTGAAGCCGGATATATTCTCAAAGTCGCAAGCTTCGGCATTGATCATTTTGTCAGGCCAAGTCGGAGGAAAGAACGAATGCGGGTTGTTTGCTGATGGATGACTGGCGCTGCGGTCAAGGGAGAACTTAAACAAAAATAAAAACCAATATGTTGTCGAGGTCATAAGTGTATCCATCATTATTTGATAATCTATGATCTAAATGAATCTTCATTACATTGACCTATATACCTCATTTACCTTCAACTCGGTCATTTAAAAAAAGAAAAAAGAAGAAGATCCGCCCATATATCTTTATTTCTTTTTCTCCTTGAATAAAAAGTCTCTAAAATCAAAACAAAGTTATCAGTTATCAAAACATCTGACCAACCTCATCGGTCCTATCAATCATTACACTCGAACAAGAATGATCAAAGACGCAAAGATGGGGAGAGTGGCGAGGAATAATTCCATAAAAGGTAAGCCATAATCGGTTCGAGTCATCAATTCAGGAGCTCATCTCACCCGCAACAAGCTGCCTTCAGAACCTTCTCACCAGATTGGTAAGCATCTATTTTCTACTTTGCAGTCTATTGCAGACTATAATTACAGAACTTTTCTTCCAAACCGATTTTTCGATCATATTTTTTTAATTATGGCCCATTTCTAAATCTTGTTTCGTTCAAATGGCATATGACTTTTTTTTTTTTTTTTTTTTTTATTGTTCACCAATACGATGCATAATATATTCTACAATCTGCCTTATAGGTTTATTTACTTTTAATTTATATCTTTGATGTCTAATGTTTACGCTTGGTTCGTTATGTTTCCCATTGTATATTATAATGATGATATTATTAGTCTTCGGACTACAATCGTGTTTCGGTGTATGAAGATATCAATCATGTAGAGGTGATGTGGTCCTGAGGAAGAGTCAATTAAGACCGGATTATTGTTACCTAATGTATCGTTGTTATATTCGCACATTTAAAAAAAGACAAGTCTATTGAAATAGCTTTTCAGTTGGATTTTGCGAAGGTATTTGCAATCTTATATACTGTTAGCATCACCCATTCAATTTATATCTAAAGTCAGCAGCGCGAGTATAGGATTTTTTTATTATTTTAATGGCAACCTGGGCAAATGATGAATTTGTGCCACCCCTATCCAAAAATTATGAGCTCAAAATACTTACAATTGCAAGTTCATTTCTCGTTCATATCGTTCAGAAATTATAGCAATGTATTGCATTTTTTTTAACGCATTTAATCCAGGAGTCGGTATTAAACCCAAAGCTTGTAAAGTCTAGGAGTTATCTAAGCGAGGGAGGAAAAGCGACCTTGTGGTGAAATTGATTGATTGATTTTATTCATTAAATATTAGGCCTAACTAAATTTGCATTAGATGAAAAAGACCGTCAAAATAAAAAGGAAATACCTTCATGCGATAACGCGTGAAAGCGAATTTTCAGAAAATCTCGTTGGAATATGAAAAGAATTACACTGATTTGTGGACAACTTTCTTAAGTTTGATACTCATGTCAGTCTGAAAAATCTATAAATTGGCACATTCTGTTAAAGTATTTCTAATACAAAAGAATCCTAACGGGATAGGCTTCTTTTATTATAAATTAAAGTCATGCAAAATTTGTATTTTCACCATTCGAAACGCGATTTCTTCAGCGTTAATACATGGGGGAAAATTTGAAAATAAAAAAATGCTATTCTATTCAATTCTTCGTTTATATATTCTAGCAGTATAATAAGGAAGAGCATTTTCGAGAAATGCGGAACCAGCAAAATTTGAATAATTCCCAATTCTCGTTTCCTTTGTTCTTCCTTTTTTTTAAACAAACAGAAGCTAAACTAGTCAAGATGATGATCAAAGTAGGTCTTGTGCTCTGTGCTATTGTGGCAACCAGTATGGTGTGCGCAAAGAATTTTGAAGAGCAAGATGCATTGGACGCTTGTAAGTATATAAGTCAGCCAGGGACAAACTGTCATAAAATCCCTATAGCTATTGTCAGAAAAACTGTGAAACTAAGACCGTATTTCGTTAACATATAATATTGTCGTACGATTCTCTTTTACTCGGGGGGGGGGGGCAGTAAGAATATAATTGGTACACAAGTCATGACCACAGGTTTTCCATCCCCTCCCCGAAACAAGTTTTATCTACTCTTCAAAACTTACCCTTTCGAATTTTTTTCCCGAATATTTCCCCACTATACGTACCTCTTATTATGTCCAATTTGCAGGCCAAAACATGAAAAGGTTAATGTTTCCAACGGCATTTGAAAGATAATATTAATTTAGAACTTCCCTCGATACGAAAGGTGCTTGAATATTTCTTTTAGTGGGAAAATAACGAGCATTAGTAGTCGAATCGACTTTAGTGATTGCAATCATTTTAGTTATAGTCTGATTTTCAGACCCTTGTACCGAATGGACGTACGTTTTGTGCTGTGCAAAGGTTCAATCAGTTTAATTGTGGCCATTACAAGAAGTGGGTTATTGATGTAGACAAATTTTCATGTACCTTTACAGCTCATTTTTATGTATGTTATTACCAAAGAAAAAAAGAGAAGTCAATCAGTCACTCAATAGTGTCTGACAGTAAAATCTAGAAAATAAACGGGTTCCCTTGCATAATTTGAATAATATGACACTGCTAACGTTTACATCTCACAGATAAGACATACGTGACATATTCATAGTTTCTGCAAAGTTCTTCATAATTTGATGTTGATTGCAAATGGGGCATAGGCCTAGTACCTTTAAGAAGATATTAACCCCTTAAAATTGCTTTAAATAACCGTTATTGATATTGACAGCACAATGTCTATGCAAGGGTACTCTAAATGCGTTTCAACAAACACAACATACTTTCCTTCACCCCCCCCCCCTCATTTTTGCCTATTTGACTCCTAATGCGTTACTCGCCTTAACCAGCCGAAACTGTTTTGGTCGCGAATGTGTCTACAGCAATATATATTTGCTTTATTTTCATTAAATCTCGTTTCTATGGCAACCATGCAGTGCTGAATATGATGCTCTCGGAGGAAGTTGCATCTCCTGATGATGTGGCCTTGCAAAGCTGGTTCAAGCGCGCGGTTCATAAAGTCAGTCATGTGGTTCATAAAGTCAATGATGCAGTTAAGAAAGCCGCCGACCTTGGACGTCGCTTGTGCCCGCATCGTTCTCCAGAAGAAGCTCGTAAGTATAGCCACAGAAATATAATTATGAAAAAAGAATAATAACAGTGACAATAATGGCAATGATGATAATGATGATGGTAATTAATAATAATATTCCGGAAATAATAATCAATATTAGCATCATCATCATCATCTGTTAGTGTCGAACCCTTTCTAAGCCAGCCAAATTAAAGCTCACATTCTTAGAAGTAATTGATGTTTATTTAATTCATCATAAGTTTTTTTATAAAAAAAATATCAAATACAAAACAGTGTAGCACTCAACAACAAAAATGTCATATGAATGTGGAGAAACCATGAAAATAAAATGCCTTGCTTAGGGACATATAGTAAGTGCCTTAACGGCTATTGAACTCACAACCTTAGATTCTCCAGCGAGTGTTTTAAGGCCCCCCCCCCCCCTAAAAAGAGCTATAAGGCCCTTTTATTTCTTCTCAAAATAGCCGCCCGGCACATTTTCCGAGACATCCGGCCGGGCTTTTTTTCATGATGGCCGCTAGCTTTTATGTTTATTTTTTCCCCGAAAAAACAGTATGTTGTTTGTTTGTTTGTTTTTTTTTAAACAAAAAAACAAAACAAAATAAAACAGGCGGCCTCAACAAAAAAAAGGGAGTGGGCGGCGCGGGGACGCTAAACCTGATTTTTTTTTGTGTGAATATTTTTCCTAGTCAGTCCCCCCTCCTCGTTTTATCATATTTTCAAATTTCATGTACATCTTAGGCGTTAAAATTCTGACTGCGTTCCCAGAGATGAGAGAAGAGGATCTCAGCGAAGAGATTGTTCGAGAGATCTGCGATGGTGTAGATGCCCTTGGCCGTTAGACTCGGTACGTAATTTTAAAACAATATTAACATGAAACAATATTATTATACTGGTGAGCACTAATATTTTTTTTGCCCTCGAAAATGGCACCCTGCCCCCCTTGAGCACCAGGGGAGGATTCGTCTCCAAATAACAGCAACATTAACGTGTTTTTACTTATTTTTTTCCCAGGGGAGGGGACCCGGCCTTCCGGATCCGCCATTGGGGGTGGGGTGGGGGTGGCGGTGACAAGCCTGGGCAAATCAAAACTATAAACAATCCACCACTTATTAACCTTTTACATGTATTTTGCTTTAACAATTTAAATACATGTCAAGTCTCAAGTAAGCAATGTTTGAGAATTTTAATATTGTTTGCCTACACTTACATTCTTACTCTGACATTAAAAAAGATACAAGTCTCTCAGTTTGGTTGTTCCAGCAGTATCAGTTTTAGAATTTTTGATGATTGCAATTGATCAATAGTAATAAATATGGAGTCATTAACAGAATTAACTTCTAATAAAAAATACAATATACGTGGCATTATATAAGTCTATATGCTTCTTTCTTCTCACCGTGCCCCCTCTCCCTTTCCCATTCTTTCTCTGTCTCCCTTTCTCCCCCTCTACCCCCTCCCCCTCTCTCTCCCTTTCTCTATCTCCCTTTCTCCCACTCCCCCCTTTTTTTTAATGTCTCCCAACCTTTCTCTCCCCTTTTCTCTGTCTCTCTCTTTCTCCTCCTTTCTCCCGTCTTTCTCTGATTCTCTTTTCCCCACAACTCCTCATTATGTTTTAAACAAAATCTATTGTCTTCATTCATTTCTCACATAGGAAGGGATCGTGACACAACATTTGGAACGCTTGATGTCGATTCTTCCTCGAGAAACAATGAAATAAAAGCAAGAAATTGCTAACTTCCATCATGTGTTTGCAACTTCCTTATAAGTAGAATCTTCTTTATCACTCCTGTATTGTTAAAATCCTTAAACCTTGTTTTCCCTCTAAAATGAAATGACGGTGAGTGGTTTTCATTATTAATACATATTTTGGCTTTACTTTCATGTATCCAATCATTATACATCTTTCAAATGTGTTTACAAATTATGTATGGTTGAAAGTTGAAAACCTTAAAAACTAGCCTGAGCATAATACTACATCTTTTTATCAAAAGCTTCAAATTAAAAATGTTCTCTCTGTTTTGCTCATTTTTTTCCTAAAGAAAAGTACCAACAACAAAACATTGTAAGCATGGTATAAGGGGAATTACTAATAGTATTGGTAATAATGCTAATAATAAAATCACATCAACTTGCATGCAAACCATAGCCTGATTTGGACATGTTGTGATATGATATAAAGTCAGTAGTGTATGATTGATAACATATTGTTGGCATGCGGGGAAAATACGAAAAACAACAACACAGTGATGAGAAAAAGTGTGAGAGGCAAAAATAAAACAAAGTGAAAAGGTTAAATAGAAGAATGAAGAGAGAAAGAGAAGAAGGGGGAGCATGGGAGAGCAGAGAGAGGAGCGTGAAAGAAAGAGAAAGTGAGAGAGAGGGGGGGGGGGGGGGAGGCAAGGAAAGCGGACAAAAAAGAGAAAGAGGAGTGATAACAGAAGAGACAACTTAAGGCAGAAACGGAAAGAATGGAAGAGAGAGAGAGAGATGGGGTGACCAAGGTGATGCGAGAAATGAGGATCATGTGAGATGGAGAGAAGAGAGAGGAGAGCAGAGAGGTGTATTTATCTTACCTTTAAACCTATGGCTAGGACGGTCTTTGTATATGCTAAAGGCACTGACAGTGCCTTAAAGGGCCACTCTAACCAAAACGGGCTAAGAAAAAAACAAATATAATAATTTTGACGGAGATTCCGAACATGACAATGATTTCTCTTAGAAATCATCAATAAATCTGGAATCTAGCTTTAAAAACGACGACTCGGAACGCTGAGAAAAAAACCCAGTTTCGGAGCTATATTGCGCAACTGTTTATGACGTCACTGCAGGCGCCTCTCCGGTGAAAAGGAGGGTGGTTTAGGCATCGACATGTCTTTAAAATGGCAAACTATGATATTAATTGGAACAAAAAAGACATTTATCCGAAAAATTATATGCACTTGATAATCCCAGTATACGTTTCTGGCAATTTCGTCATTTTTAATGTAAGATCCTTAGTTGTAGGTCGAATCGGACATGCCTGCAATGACGTCAAATTCGTCATCAAGGCCACGTGACCGTATTAACTCTTTTCGAGGGGCATAGCCCAGCAAACGTGAGAACTGTGAAAAGTGGATGGTTATTATCATTTTTCGGTCAATTTAGAGATTTTTTGAAAAATCAGAGGCTGGAATATTAAAAAGTAGAGGTGTATTCATGTTTTGAAAGGCTATGTTAGTTGGGTTAGAGTGGCCCTTTAAAAGGACGTCACAGTGCCTTAAAAGGACGCCACATGTAGCAGTCCACTATGTCGACGTGCAAATCTAAAAGTCCCTATTGCCTCCGCCGCGGCTACTTCGTTGCGGAGGCATACAAACGAAATTTTACAAAAACAAAACAAACATAATATTACACTGAAATTCGTATGAAAGGAATATATAGAAAGAGCACTCGATCTGAATATATCATCTGCCAATACTTTTGTCTCTTCGATACAGACGGCTTCATGCCCTGTGCTGCCCTCAGGAGGTGGTTTTGACTCACTCTGATCACAAACACATCTTCTGTGACTGTGTTGTTTGATATCATACCCTGTAATATTAATATTGAATTAATGATATGCATTAGGGCAAACAAAAAATAATGTGTTTCTCGTCCGGTCTTTCTTTAAAAATCAGTGAGGGAGGCCTTTACTGTTATTTTTTTTTTTTTTTGTCAAGATGGCCGCCATTTATAAAATGGCTGCTGAGACAAGGCTTTTTGATCATATATTGTATGTATGTAAAGTAGATAATATTTTATCACATAAGTTTGTCTTCGATTTGTCAAATCAGAAACAAAAATCAGAAATTGAATGATTTTCTCTCTCTTTCACAGGCCACAGACAAGCACTAAATACAGTGCGAAAAGTTAGTGCTTGCCTGTGGTAAATGACTATGTACTACATGTACAAACAAAACACAGTGGCACAGCCGTAAATGATTGTTATTTAATCAATGTGCAACGTTTAAAACTACTGAGTACTAGTATAGAGATGTTTAAAATATCTACAGTGCACGATGTCAAAATTATTTGTCAATGACTATGATTATGGGACCTCAAAATTCAACTGCAGTAGCATAGCTACCTCACATTCGACGCCTTCTGATGACGGCTTAAAAAGATTGCAATTAAAAAAAGCTTGGTTTGGGCTACAGCACTGAGAAAAATGTCATGGTTTTACAAGTTTTAGTTTCATACTCTTTTAAATACTGACATGAGGGAAGTTAAACATTCTCGCAATAATACATGCAGATCTGTATCAAAACTCTTAGTACCTGTTAATTTTCAGTGGCCTAGGACATATCCGTTTAAATGCGTAGCTGTGCACTGGTCAACCACATATAATTATATTGTGTAAAATATGTATCAAGCAAACCTGAGTAAATTTAAAAATCCTTTCCTCATAAGCAAGTTTGAAACTATTCTTTTGGTTTGGGTTTTCCTGCATGTTCCTAGAACTGTTCCCTTGTCTAAGGGGATGTAGGATGTTTCCCCCTTTTTTATAAGAAAAAATACATTCATAAGATAAAATAAAGTAGCATCAAAGCAATTATAATATAAGCCCATGCACGGCTCTTTTCTTTTTTTAAACGAGGTGTAAAACCTACGTACTGCTGCACACTTACATTTTACAAGCACACATTTCTACACCTGGCAATTACAAACAATTTTTAATACCCTCCTGATGTAACGCTGACTTAAAGTATAACTATGATTTCTAAAAAAATAAAAATGAAAATAACAAATATCGGTGCGGGCGGGTGGGGACGAGAATCACGTAATTTTTGTAACTTGGCCTTATTACATTCAGAGCAGCTTACACAGAATCTATTGATATCAGTTACACTAAAGTATATATCTGGTTCAACATAATAGATGTAAATGTAAAGTATGCTGGATTGTTTTGATCCTCAAACTTATAATTCTATGACATGAAGATACACATAGCACCAGAGGCGGCGCTCCTGGGTAGGGGGTGGGGGGGGGGGGGGGCAGGGGGCACAGTGCACCCACTCTTTCTAGTACCCCCAAATTGCCCCTTTAACTTTGTAAGCAGTCCCCCTTTTAACATAGGACAAGTGCCCCTTTTACTTTGAAACATGCCCCTATTAATTTGTTAAAGTGCCCCTTCCCCTTTTCACCTCTGATAAGTGCCCCTTTTATTTTGACACATACCCCTTTTATTTTGACAAGTTTCCATTTACGATTGCAATAAGTATCCATTTTCCATTCTCATAAGTGCCCTTTTTAATCTATAGTAAGTGCCCCTTTTCAGGTACGAGAAGTGCCCCTTTTCACCATTGATAAGTGCACCCTTCACGTCTGATAATTACCCTATTCAAATCTTAGAGGTGCCCCTTTCCTTTGTAAGAATTTCCCATGCCCTTTTTAATAATTAACCGTTTTTAAACTCGGATAAGCACACCTAATATTTTCTCATGTGTCCCCTTTCCTTTCTAATAAGTGCCCCTTTTCCTTTTGATGAGTGCCCTCATTTGAAAAAAGAGACCAGTTCCCCTTTTCACAAAATCCCCTTTTCACAAAATCCCCTTTTCACCTATTAAAAGTGTCTCTTTTCATTCTCATAAGAGCCCCTTTCCATTTCTGTTTCTGGTAAATGACCCTTTGCAGGTACGAGAAAATACCCCTTTTCACTTCAGATAAGTGCCCCCTTCACCTCCGATGATTGCCCCATTTCAAATGTGAGAGATACTCATTTAACTTTGAAAATTGCCCTACCCCTTAATAAGTGCTCTTTTCATCTTTAATGAGCGTCCCTTTTCATCTTAATCATTTCCCCCTTTTATATTGACACGTGTCCTTTCCCCTTATCATAATTACCCCTTTTCATCTATGATAAGTGCCCCGTTTATTTTAACATGTGCCTCTTTTTCTTCTTATTAATAAGAGCCAATTCCCCCTTCACATAAAAGCACCCTTTCACCTCCGATAAATGACCCTATTAAAATCTGATCGGTGCCTCTTTTCTTTCAAACCTTGTTTTCCCTCTAAAATGAAATGACGGTGAGTGGTTTTCATTATTAATACATATTTTGGCTTTACTTTCATGTATCCAATCATTATACATCTTTCAAATGTGTTTACAAATTATGTATGGTTGAAAGTTGAAAACCTTAAAAACTAGCCTGAGCATAATACTACATCTTTTTATCAAAAGCTTCAAATTAAAAATGTTCTCTCTGTTTTGCTCATTTTTTTCCTAAAGAAAAGTACCAACAACAAAACATTGTAAGCATGGTATAAGGGGAATTACTAATAGTATTGGTAATAATGCTAATAATAAAATCACATCAACTTGCATGCAAACCATAGCCTGATTTGGACATGTTGTGATATGATATAAAGTCAGTAGTGTATGATTGATAACATATTGTTGGCATGCGGGGAAAATACGAAAAACAACAACACAGTGATGAGAAAAAGTGTGAGAGGCAAAAATAAAACAAAGTGAAAAGGTTAAATAGAAGAATGAAGAGAGAAAGAGAAGAAGGGGGAGCATGGGAGAGCAGAGAGAGGAGCGTGAAAGAAAGAGAAAGTGAGAGAGAGGGGGGGGGGAGGCAAGGAAAGCGGACAAAAAAGAGAAAGAGGAGTGATAACAGAAGAGACAACTTAAGGCAGAAACGGAAAGAATGGAAGAGAGAGAGAGAGATGGGGTGACCAAGGTGATGCGAGAAATGAGGATCATGTGAGATGGAGAGAAGAGAGAGGAGAGCAGAGAGGTGTATTTATCTTACCTTTAAACCTATGGCTAGGACGGTCTTTGTATATGCTAAAGGCACTGACAGTGCCTTAAAGGGCCACTCTAACCAAAACGGGCTAAGAAAAAAACAAATATAATAATTTTGACGGAGATTCCGAACATGACAATGATTTCTCTTAGAAATCATCAATAAATCTGGAATCTAGCTTTAAAAACGACGACTCGGAACGCTGAGAAAAAAACCCAGTTTCGGAGCTATATTGCGCAACTGTTTATGACGTCACTGCAGGCGCCTCTCCGGTGAAAAGGAGGGTGGTTTAGGCATCGACATGTCTTTAAAATGGCAAACTATGATATTAATTGGAACAAAAAAGACATTTATCCGAAAAATTATATGCACTTG